TGATTTCAGTAACTTATCACCAGATTTCCTGCTATTAGTAACCTGGGCATGAATTGGTTTTGTGGAGGGTCTAAATTAAGAGAATTGCACCAAATCTGGACGCAGCTAACCTTCAAATTCACCTTGTCTTGGCTGGGAGGATGTGACACATCCCGAACCTTCGGGCCGGCGATATTGGCACGTACGGGCCCCGGGTTCCTCTGTTCATTCACAACATGACACTAAACACGAGCCCTCTACACACAGCAAGCAGGAAATATCTATTCAGTGTGTGTCCTCTGCTTCCTCTGGGCCCCAGCAAATCCTAGCAGAGGTTCTCACTTTTGTTTTGCTCAGTGTGACACCTTTTCCCCGCCACCGCCGCGTACGTGTGCGAAGATCTTTTCAAGTTGCTCCAAGTTTCTTTCCCCTAAATACACTGCCAGGAAGTGAGTAGAGATTACGTCCTGTCTTTTAAAAAGTTATTTTCTGCTGGAGGGAAACCAAAATAACTTCCAGCTACAACCCTCCAGGGCCATCTGTTGTAGGAGAGGAGAAGAAAAGGATGTCCCATGGAAGCGTCCCCGCTGATAACGGCGCGGTGATAAACAAACAGCTGGGCACGTGCTCTGCAGCCACTCAGTCACTGCTCCCAGGCACAGCTCAGAGCCTGAATCCTTCCCTGAGTCACTGGCCTGCTGGAGAGCACCCAAACTCCCAGCTGTGCCAGCATAAATCAGTGTTTTTGTGGTGGTTTTGGTGGCTCCAGGTCTCTTGGTGGACCTTGAGCTCTTGTACCCAGCACTGTCCTCAAGGCCTAAATTGTTTCCTCAGCTTGGAGGAGTAGCTGAACTTATTCTGCAGAGTCTTTAAACCTTACTTTGTTGTAGGAGAGGAGAAGGAAAGGATGTCCCATGGAAGAATTCCCTGATGATAACAGCACAGTGATAAACAAACAGCTGGGCACGTGCTCTGCAGCCCCTCAGTCACTGATCCCAGGCACAGCTCAGAGCCTGAATCCCTCCCTGAGCCGCTGGCCTGTGGAGAGCACCCAAACTCCCGGTTGTGCCAGCATAAATCAGTGTTTTGAGTGGTGATTTTGGTGGCTCCAGGTCTCTCGGTGCACCTTGAGCTCTTGTCCCTGTCCTCAAGGCCTAAATTGTTTCCTCAGCTTGGAGGAGTAGCTGAGCTTACTCTGCAGAGTCTTTAAACCTTACTTTGGTCATGGTGTTGTTTTATTGCAGACAGAATGTCAATTCTAATTTCTTTTTTTCTTTTTTCCCCCCAATTAAAGCTTGAAGAAGAATTCCAAAGAACGGCCAACATACCCAGAGCTTATGGTGAGTGTCACACACCAAGCAGTGTGCTCAGAGCTGGGAAGGATCACAGGAGGTGCTAAGGCAGAGATTCCAACAGTGATGGTGTTTTGGGCTGCTTTTTTCATAGCAGATGGAGAATTGTGACACTGGGAGGGTGGCTGCAAAGCAGAGATGCTCCTTGAAATCTCAGCCAGGTGCTTTTCCACCTATTTTGGAAATCAAGGGAGAGAAGTCATGTTAAAGCGGGTCATGGACAAGAATGAGGCTGTGAAAAATCAGTTAGTGAGGCTCAAATCCTTTGTGTGATCAGCTCAAACCCCTCAGTGTGCCACAGATGTCCCCAAGAGCTGCAGGAGCCCGGTGGCCAGAGGGGCTTTGCTGCCCTGGTGCTTTGGAGAGGAACATTTTTGGACAGAATAATTCCTGGATGTTGGGGACAGGGATGAGTCTGTGACTAATAATTCCAGTTATTGAATTTCATCTGCTGCCTAGAGACTGTTTACTGGGAGGGATCACTGTGGAGTAACCAAGGAGGAAAATGCCAATAAAGGCTGGTGACAGGGGAAATGCAGGGCCCTGCTCTGGGCTGCAGCTGGCCAGAACAGATTTTTCTGCTTGGGCTCCACAGCTTCATGGCCTCCCCTTCTCCCCTGCCTTTCTGGTGCTCCTGAAAGCTGGCAAAAAGCAGGAGAGCTCAGGAAGATGGTGCTTCACTCCTCCTTTATAACTCTCACACAGTTCACAGCTTTCTAAAGGTGCCTAAATTTGTTATTTCTGAAGATCCTGACCCTGCATTCCCACCCCTGTCCAGTCTCAGTGCCAGGGTCACCTGGATTAAGGGTGGAAAGTGCTGAGGGGTTTCTTTAGGCACTCCTATTCCCTACCCCACAATTTTTGGGATGTACATTCACCCTGCAGAGGGTCAGAGCCCCACACCTCACACCTCCTGCTCAGAGGGCAGAAGGGGCAGGCTTAAGGTGATTTTTACCTGCCAGTCATGCTGGAAATCCACAACCCTGACTTGTAAGCAGTGAATAATTCCCGTGGCTTTTGGTGCTGGGCCTGTAATGCAATTAAACTATAAATAGATGTGATTGACACACAGCTTGGTTTCAAACAAAGAGAAGCCTGAGATTTATGCCTTTTTTAAAAAAAAACTTTATTTTTGGGGGGCTATATCATTGAATAAATCCATCTGTATATTTTAAGCAAACTTCTGAGCTTTGCCAAATGGCCTTTTATCAAGAAAGGTTCGGTGGAGCAGCTCTGTCTGCTGCAGCATTAATTCCCATTGGCAAGGGAGCGCATTTCTATTGAATTAGGTTCTTGGATCACCCCTGCAGAGTACCTCAATGCTGTGGTATTTTATGGCTGACATGGATGTTGTGAGGTCCTGTGGTTGAGGGCTGCTGTTCTGTTGGGGTTTTTTCCTCTCTCTTACAGCATTAAGTTGTGGTGCTGGATTGGAGTTGTCATTTAGACCAAGGCTGCTCCTTTGCTTTCCTGTGGAATTGAGGTTTCTCATGGAAAATGTGACTCTGTGCTATCTTGAGCATCAGGAAAGCTGATGGGGGGGGGCTTAATTTCATTAAAAAACCCCTTTTCCAGGTGAAGTGGAGCATGAAATTACTGCAGGAGTGGTGGTCTGCACTCCCTGCCTGGCACAGGGCTCTGTGCCAGCCTCAGGGGCATTGCTGCCACCCCTGGCACATTTTGGGTGTTTCCAAGCTGTGGTGGTTGTGCTTTGGGTGTCACTTCAGTGGGTGTTGTTGGGAAGGGTGGAAGTTTGACAGGAAAGTCTCACAGATCTGTGTGCTTAGCAGAAAGATTTTTGAATGTAGAATCTGAAGAAGGAATAGAAATGAGAGCAAGTTTTGATATAGAAGAATTGCTGAGCCAGTCTTACTGGATCACCAAGGATCCAAAGGGTATTTTATGTTAGTTAGAAGGGGTTTTTATGGCTTAGAGCAAAGGATAAACCCACCCCAAACAAAAAGATGTTTTTACCAAGCAGAAAGAGAGCACAGGCAAACAAGTCAGCAAAGTTGCAAGTAGGAAAAAAATCTCAGAATTTTCCACTGCAAGAAAACTGAGAAACAACTTCTAGCTTAAACTGTAATGTACTGACTTTTAGTGATTGGAGAACAGTAACATGAATATGGCAATTACAGTAGTTATGATAGGCTGTAGATAAAAGTTAAGGTGTAGATTGGTTCTACTGTATGAAGATGCTCAGCAAAGTATAGAATGCAATGTAACCAAAAGAAAAGCATATAATGCATTTGTAACCCAAAGAAAAGTATAAAATGCATTGTAAGCAAAAGAAAAGTTTACAATGCACTGTAACCCTTGAGCTTTGACATGAAAAATACTTGGTCCTAGCAGTGTTTCATCCCACCTACTCTGCCACCTTTGGGACTTTTTTTTTGGTTTGCATTACCAGGCTAACATGAAGCAAAATGTGTCTAATTAATTATTAGGCAGGCAAAGCCATGAAGCATGGCTTCTTGTCTTTTGTAACCAAAAGAAAAGTTTATAATGCATTGTAAATATAAGTAAAGTATAGAATGCATTGTAACCAAAAGAAAAGTCTATAATGCAGTGTAACCAAAACCAAAGGGTCTCCAGGCAGCTGTAGGCACAGCTCTGTCACCCACCACCCTGGACTGCTGTGACATCTTGGATGGAATATACTGCATTTTATATACAATAAATTGCATTTTGGAGAGCCCCTGGGGTCCCACATCCCTCATTCAGGCTCTTACAGGCTGTAAAAGCAGGGATGTCNGAGCTGGCCATCCTGCGCTTCCCCTACGACTCCTGGGGCACCCCGTTCCAGCAGCTGAAGCAGGTGGTGGAGGAGCCCTCGCCACAGCTCCCAGCAGAGAGGTTCTCAGCAGAGTTCGTCGATTTTACCTCGCAATGGTAAAAGTTCCCCTCTTCTCCCTCTCTTTCCCTGGCCCTGCTCACCCTCACAGGCAGCTCTGAGCTGTTCTGGGCAGGACATTCCCTGTGCCCTTGTGCTTGGCACACAGCAGGGCTGGGGGGTCTGTCTGAGGGGCAGGAGGGGACACAGGGGGTTTGGGAGGGGACACAGGGTTTAGGAGTCTCCTGGCTCTGATTGCCCCCATGCCAGCAGCATAGGGTGCCACACACAGCCCCAGTGACCCCAAACTGTGCCACACACAGCCCAATGACCCCAAACTGCCACACACAGCCCCATCCCAATTCCCACAAACTGAGCACAGCCCCATCCCAATGTCCCCAGACTGTGTGCCTGCAGGNATAATGAAAACTTGTGACTCTTTCCAGAGTCCTGACACAGCTTGGCCCTGATTGGCCATTGAGTCAAAATAATTCACACCAGAATCAAATGAAACAGTCACGTGTGGGTAAACAATCTCCAAACACATTCCAAAGGAGCAAAACACAGGAGAAGCAAATGAGATTGAAAAGAATTGTTCTCCTTTTTCTCTGATGCTTCTCAGCTTCCCAGGAGAGGAATCCTGGAAGAAGGGATTCTTCAGAAAATGTGAATTTGACAGATCAAACCCATAAACATCCTTGTGAACACCCCGTGGGTGCTGGGCTGGGGACATGCCTGTGACAAAGGTGGTGACAGAGGGGTGGCACAGGGGGTGCTGGGGGGCTCCAGGTGTGCCCAAGGCCTGGGGCAGCCCCCTGACCTGCTGTGTCCTGCAGAGGATCCGAGCCACAGTGAACAGCCAGGAGCAGAAGAGGCTGCTGATGGACCTGGACATCTCCATGAGGACAGTGGATTGTCCCTTCACTGTCACCTTCTACGGGGCACTCTTCAGAGAGGTGAGGCTTCCTGGGGCTCAATTCCCATTCCTGTACCTTCTGCAGGTGCCAGGGGTTTAATCTGTACCTGGACATGGAGGTTTTAGTCCTGTCACTCGCTGTGCCTGTGCGACAGCCTGGTGCCATCGTGTTTAAATTGCCCTGCCTTGGTTTCATCCACGTGGAAAGGAGAATTTATTGAAGAGCTTGAAGCACAGCTCTGCAGAGCTGAACTTTTCCTGGCTGGGCATTGGGAGCTTCAGTTCCTGATAATTTTCTGGGCTCCTAAATCACCGTGGTTCTGCTTTGGGAAGGGGATGCCCTAAATGGTAGGGAATGTGCACAGCACTGAATTCCAGAGCAGGGGAAAAGAGAGCCCAGGACAGCTTTGAATGGGTTTAGAAAAACAAAAACAAGGGAAGGGGAAAGGGGAAGGGAATTTCAAGGAAAGGAAATTTCAAGGAAATTTCAAGGAAATTTCAAGGAAATTTCAAGGAAATTTCAAGGAAAGGAAATTTCAAGGAAATTTCAAGGAAAGGAAAGGAAATTTCAAGGACATTTCAAGGAAATGAAATTTCAAGGAAAGGAAAGGAAATTTCAAGGGAATTTCAAGGATAGGAAATTTCAAGGAAATGGAAGGAAATTTCAAGGAAAGGAAATGTCAAGGAAAGGAAAGGAAAGGAAATTTGAAGGAAAGGGAAAGGAAAGGGAAAGGAAAGATGTTTTGTTGAAATCTCTGGGTATCTGCTTGCTTTACTCTCCAGGGAGATGTGTGGATTTGCATGGAGCTGATGGATACCTCACTGGACAAATTCTACAAACACGTCATTGACAAAGGCCTGACGATCCCCGAGGACATCCTGGGGAAAATCGCCGTCTCTGTGAGTGGCAGCAGGGGGAGGATTTCAGGGAAAGGGGCTTTTCCTCTCAGCCAGGCCCTGCCTGCTCTGTGGGCACCAGGAGGAGGCTGGTCCATGTGCCAGCCCATGTGGCCATTCCCATGCCTGATCTGATGTTGTTTATAATCCATGAATGTGCCCATCCATGCACATGATGGAGAGCTGTGCCAGTGTGAGGTTTGGGAAGTTCCTGCAGCTCCTTTATGGTTTATAATCCATGAATGTGCCCATCCACACAAATAATGGAGAGCTGGACCAGTGTGAGGTTTGGGGAGGCTCCTGAAGCTCCTGTATGGTTTATAAGCCATAAATGTGCCCAGTGTGAGGTGTGGGGAGGCTCCTGCAGCTCCTTTATGGATTGTAAGCCATAGATGTGCCCATCCACACACATGATGGAGAGCTGGACCTGTGGGAGGTGTAGGGAGGCTCCTGCAGCTCCTTTATGGTTTATAATCCGTGAATGTGCCCATCCACACACATGGTGGAGGTTTATAATCCATAAATGTGCTCATCCACACACATGCTGGAGAGCGGGCCTAGTCTGACGTGTGGGGAGGCTCCTGAAGCTCCTTTATGGTTTATAAGCCATAAATGTGCCCAATATGAGGTGTGGGGAGGCTCCTGCAGCTCCTTCATGGCTTCTAATCCATAAATGTGCCCATCCACACACATGATGGAGGTTTATAAGCCATAAATGTGCTCATCCACACACATGATGCAGAGCTGGACCAGTGTGAGGTTTGGGGAAGCTCCTGCAGCTCCTTTATGGTTTATAAGCCATAAATGTGCTCAATATGAGGTGTGGGGAGGCTCCTGCAGCTCTGAATGTGCCCATCCACACACATGATAGAGAGCTGGCCTAGTGTGAGGTGTGGGGAAGCTCCTGCAGCTCCTTTATGGTTTATAATCCATGAATGTGCCCATCCACACGCATGGTGGAGGTTTATAATCCATAAATGTGCTCATCCACACACATGGTGGAGAGTGGGCCTAGTCTGACGTGTGGGGAGGCTCCTGCAGCTCCTTTATGGTTTATAATCCATGAATGTGCCCATCCACACAAATAATGGAGAGCTGGACCAGTGTGAGGTGTGGGGAGGCTCCTGCAGCTCCTTTATGGTTTATAATCCATCAATGTGCCCATCCACACACATGATGGAGAGCTGGTCTACTGTCAGGTGTGGGGAGGCTCCTCAGCTCCTTTCCCTTCTCATCAGGGTCCTGGAGCCCCCAGGAAAATCCCTGGGTACCCCCCAACCCTCAGGCTGCTGGCAGGGTGCAGGACTCATGGGAAATGTGGCTTTCCTGCCCTCCTGGTGGGTCTGGGGGTGAAGCCAGGTATCATTTCCTCCTCCTCGTGGTGCTGCCAGCTGTGACTGACTCTGGGTTTGTTGTTTCAGATTGTAAAAGCACTAGAACATCTCCACAGCAAGCTCTCTGTGATCCACCGAGGTGAGTGCCAGGCGCCCCCTGCCCTGTTCCCAGCCTGGGCTCCCAAAACTCCCCAGATAAAGTCAGCCTGTGACAGCAGGAATGCTCCCCAGCATCTCCTGACCTCAGCAAAACCCAGGCAGAGGAATGGCTGCTCTTTGCTCCTTAAAATCTGCCTGCTGCTCCTGAAGAGGAGGAGGAGGAAGAGCTGTTTCCCTAAACCCATAATCTAAACCCTAAACCCATGGTGTGCTTCATCACCTGGGTGAAATTCAGCCTTTTTCCCTGACTTTGGGGCAGGCTGTGCCCAGGTTTGTCCCCCAGCTCCATGGCTCTGTGCTGATGTGCAGTGGGAGGGGATGTTGGACCCCTGGTGGCGGCTGAGAATTTGAGATTTTCTGTGCTGCCAGGCTCTGACCCCCAAGAGAAAACTGCACTGACCTGAGGCCATGGAGAAGCTTCCAAAATTAAATTATAGCACTGGGATTATGGGGGTGGAGTTTGAATAGAATTTCCATCACAGGGTAGAAAATTAGAGTTAAAGCTTTTAGAATAAAGTAATATATATAAAGCAAGATGGAGGTTTTAGGGTGGAGGCTGCTCCTTCTTCACCTTCTTCTTCATTCATCTTCAGTTTCTTCTTTCTTCTTCTTCACCTTCTTCTTTCTCCATGGGTTTGGGTGGTTTTGTGTAATTGGATAAAAAAGCTCCCATTGCAGGCCATGGGTGGTTGGTTATTGGGTTAAAAGTAAAAATAATTGAGGTGTCATTTCTTAACTGGACAGTTTATCCTTAAAAAGCCTTGTAGAGAGAGAGATGGGGCTCCAGTTTTAGTTTGTTGGAGTGAAGTGCTGCAGAACTCAGGGTTTGTGAGACTGTGACATAGATAAGAACTGATAAACATCTGATAAACAAGAAATACCCTCCAGCACGTTTAATCCCAACCTTGGGATTAAAAGAAGCAAAGAATCCGCAATGGAATATTAGAGTTTAAGCTTTTAGACTATAGTAATATATATAAAGTTTTATACATATAAAATGTATAAATTTTACATCTAAAACTCCACAAGGGATCTCCCTTCCAGCCTCATCCTCCCATCCTCCTTCCCTGAGCTTCCCTGAGTGCAGCAGAGCAGTCTGACACCTAAACCAGCCTCAAACCAAATCATAAATCCCCTCCTTAAACTCTTCTAGATGGTTTCAAAGCTGCCTTGAGCACACTCAGAAACAAACCTGCAGTTTGCTGTTTGACACCTTTATTTTTAGGAGTAATTTTCAGTTTGTCCTGAGGAGGAAGGAGTGTGTGAGTGCCTGGGAAGCAGCAGGGTTCAGCTGGAGCTGGCAGTGGCACTGGCTCTGCTCTTCCTGTGCCTGGGGCAGAGTTTCTGCCTTGTGCCTCTTGGCTGCTCTGTGTTCCTTGTGCCTTGGCCCAGCACGCCCAGGTGACAGTGACTGTGCTCTGTGTTCCTTCTTGCAGATGTAAAGCCCTCTAACGTGTTGATCAATACGCAGGGGCAGGTGAAAATGTGCGACTTTGGCATCAGCGGGTACCTGGTTGACTCTGTGGCTAAAACCATGGATGCAGGATGCAAACCCTACATGGCTGTAAGTGCAGCAGGCAGAGCAGCAGGAGCCTGGGGCGAAGGAGCAGCAGCTCCTGCCCTGGGGATTCCTTTGGGGAGCCTGTTGTGTTTTCAGGGAGGAGTGATGGATCTGACTCCATGTGCACAGCTCATGGGCTGTGTGGGCTGGGCTGGCACCCTGAGAGACCCTCCCTGGGCACGGGCAGGGCACTGAGGGCATCCCCTGCTCACTTGGGCATGGGCAGGGCACTGGGGGCACCCCTGCTGCTCCTCACCCTCCTTTGTGTCTGTTGGCAGCCGGAGAGAATCAACCCAGAGCTGAACCAGAAGGGATACAGCGTCAAATCTGACATCTGGAGCCTGGGCATCACCATGGTACGGCCACCTGGGGGTCACCAGGGTCACTTGGGGGTTGCCAGGGTTACCTGGGGATCACCATGGCAGGTTCACCTGGGGCTGCCAGGGCTCTCACCTGAGGATCATCATGGTGGAGTCACCTGGGCATCACCAGGGTCACCTGGGGGCATCACCAGAGCTGTCACCTGGGCATGACCATGGGGGTGTCACCTGGGGATCACCATGGCAGGGTCACCTCGGGGTCACCTGGGGCTGCAAGGGCTGTCACCAGGGGATCACCCTGGTTGGGTCACCTGTAGCTGCCAGGGCCACCAGGAGGGCTCATTGCGGCTCATGGGTTCATTCTCCTCCCCACAGCGGTACTGCTGGCACAGGGTGGGCAGGGGAGGAGCTCAGGCCGGTGCCCCAGGGTGGAAGGGAGGGAGGAGGAGCTGCTGTGTCAGCTGGGGCTGCTGTGGAGCTGCAGCTGCCGGGAGATGGCAGCATGGGCTAAGGCAGGATGATGGAGTGCACAGCCTGCGCTGCCTGCACAGAGAGCCCTCCCTGCGCTCAGCCACCCACCCTCGGGACAGCAGGGACAGGGGGGATCCCAGGCAGTGTTTGGGGAATCCGTCTGCTCCCAGATTTACCCCTGTGCAGGTTTTTCCCAGGGATTGTGGCAGGGGTGACAGGGTGGCCTGTGGAGCTGCCTGGGCTCCTCCTGCCTCTCCTGTTTGCTGGAGGAGGATA